AGTATTATGAAGGGTTGTACAGTGTGATTTGGATGATCGCATTCAATTAATTCGCATTCATTTGCGAACTGGAGAGCGCGAGTGTCGATAATAGGCAAGTTTTATTGAAATACGAAGGGAACATTCGCGAGGAACGTGAAGCGTCGGTGCTGCACTTTAGGAATAAACAGCGGACTACTTTTTCTATCTGAAAGTTCTGGCTGTCCGACAAGTCACCTGGTATCCCTTTTATCTTCTTAACTCCGTTCCTCTGGCCACTTTTTCGCGCATATTTCAGATGGCTCGGTGTTTTTACCCAACATAGAGTAAGTAAATCCCTTCCACCGTCTATCCCAGTGAAACGAAATTGCGAGCAGCACTTCTCTTTTCCTACGTTAAATCCTATCACGCTGCTCAGCTGATTTTTATACAGATCCTGTTGCCTGTTCACGATTAAAAATTATTATGCCGCAATTACACGTTACTTTGAGAAGATCTTCCCTAAGACTTCTTGTTAATTCTCTTCTTATTCAAGAATCCCTGTATTCTACTAGTAAGGATTTCTTGATAGAAATTGTACTACTTACACATTTTATAATACATAAGAGAAAATTACCTGAATTAAGGAAACATTTGTAGGCTACTAAAATAAAAACTAAGTCCGTAGTCAGGTTAAATATATTTATTACGCGATGTGGCTTTAACGAGGAACGGCGACTTACTACGTTTCCTCAACGCTTTTCTAAGAAGGAAACCTCTTCAGACGAGGGCATACGTGACCTAGGTCCTGCTGGTCCCCTTGGTCATAAATTAGTCAATGGGCCTGGTCTATCGCTCAGGCCCCCAAGTATTGACACGCAAAAGGGCGAACCGTCTACACATTGATGATTATTATTTTCCTCCGTTAAATTCTATCACGCTGCTCAGCTGATTTTTATATAGATCCTGTTGCCTGTTCGCGATTGAAAATTATTATGCCGCAATTACACGTTACTTTGAGAGGATCTTTCTTAAGACTCTTTCTTGGTAATTCTCTTCTTATTCAAGAATCCTTGTATTCTACTGATAAGGATTTCTTGATATAAATTGTACTACTTACACATTATATAATACATAAGAGAAAATTACCTAAATCAAGGAAACATTAATGATTATTATGATTTCATGATTACATTTGATAATGGACTAAACACAAAATTTCGAACAGAAACATTCAACTTTCAAGCTATTAAAGATCATAATCGATCTTAACATGATGTCGTTTTCCTGAAACGATATTCAACTTCAGTTGCCACGGATCCCCTCATGAAAATGTAAATTCGTAAAAACACCTTGTGCCCGGTAATCGCTTTAACATCGAGTTCCGAATAATCAATAGAAATCGCATCAGCGAGCATCAGAGCAGCATAGATTTTCTCGTTAAAGTTGAATCATTAGCATCATTGATTTCCGCATTATTATCGTCGCCTCTCCATCCGATCCCCCCATCAATATGCGAGAGGAACACCATCGTTTCATTTCAAACACGTTAATTGAGTCAGCACACGACGAACGTTTCTTCTTTTTCATTCGAAGTTGGATAAGCAGTCGCGTATGGACTAATGAAAAAAGTTTCGAATCCCCTGGCCGTGGGTACTGCATTAGCATCAACACGCAGACGCGACGTATTTGGGAAATGTGCTCGGTGTTCATCCCTTTATCCTCCCCATAGGAACCTCTGTTTATTACAGCTCTCTCGTGGGTGGCATCTGTTTTAATAAATCAATCGAGAAATTTACGGTCCTGCCACTTAACCTAACGAACCGAACCCAATTCACGCGTTAATCAATAACTGTAAGCTACTCGTGCATGCAGCATAACGTAAAATTAAATATGGACAGCTTTACTTTTTACTGTTATATTTAATTTCACTGTTCAATACAAAATACTGCTTATAGAAATACCTCGGAAATGAATCTTCCTCTGTACACTTAACTTTAGAAATCTCCAATGCGAAAGTTTCACTTCTCTTTCATTGGAATCCTCGCGAAACCCTCGATGACCAATTAAAGCAATTTCCTGTTTCTCTTTGCAATCATGAAACTCTCTTCGCAAACAGCTTCCAACGAAATAATTATGCCAGATACAAATATTCTAACTCAATATCGCACCGCTGCGAAATTGTGTTTTCATGGTAACCCACGGTCCAAAGAAGTCACGAGCATAGCAACCGCAAACCTAAGAAACTTAAATAAATTTCCTTTTAGTCGCAGCTTCAGCCAGCCACTCCGCGAGCGGCCATGTTTACGCGAGTATCTGGGACGATTCATAACCCGACGCTCAAACCAAACGTCGGCCAAATAAGTTGAACCTCGGGGAGCACTTTGCTCGGATGTTGCTGGTGGATGTTATTTACGCTCGGTGGCCGAGTCTGCATCCCCGCAACGTTCAAAACCGTCCGTAATTTCTGTTACGTCGCGCAGCGGCACTATCGGTGAGGACCGCTCCGAAGAAGCTGGACCGCGAGCGGGGAGGAAACGGAGGAAGACAGCGGAGAGCGGAGAAAAGGAACCGAGTCGTTTGAGTTTATTTCTCCGCCGGGCGAAACAAAGGTTCTGTGTTCTTGCCAGCTAGCTGCGCGACCAACGGAGCCTTTGATGTCCGCGGGTTCTGGCGAAAATCTCGCGGGATCGATAAGGCGACCGAAAAATCCGCGAGCAGCCTCGATGGAGGAAAATTTGGAGCGCGGCGTTTCTAACGAGCACAGAAAATGCGCTCGTTCCCTTCGGAACTTTCTGAATTTGATCCACTCGCCTGGTTGATCGATGAGCCACTTTATTTCGAGGCTCGAGGTGTCGGGTAATTCGTGCTTCTGAATTTTTCCAAGGAATTTTCCGTGGCGCGAGTAACGAAGATTGAGGCCCGAGTAAGGTAAGAAGCTCTCGGAATTCTGTAAGATTGAAATTTCTACGCTGGTAATTGGTAACTTTCGGATGGAGCGAGAGTTTGAAAGTCTTTGAAAGGAGCACTCTCGGCGTGAGACTGCAGAAAACGTAATATGCGAAAGAGATAAGGGAATAGCGAGCCCGGGAGAACAAGACGGCAAACATGCAAGAGAATGGAAGGAAAGTAGTTGGAAGAAACTGTGTAGTCCACTCGGGTTTGTTGCCCGTACACTGTGCAGGGATGAATGCAATATGTTCACGACAATTGTCCGCTGGACACGGCGACGCTTGTAATGCTCTGGCTGGATGAAAAAATGGCCTCGGGTCTCTGAGGTCCTTACCGCGTGTATCTTGTGGCTTTGAAATATTTAGGGATGCGCTGAAAGATAGAGCTGGGCGCTTTGAATCTTTGAGTCTGGCAGTGCTACAGTTCTCTTGGAATTTACTGGTATTCTGATGTACTTGTGAAATCAGGAACTGGATAATTAACAAGATTATCCAGATGAAAATGTCATCCTAAAGTTAATCAAAGAGAGTATGACTTGTTAATTACTTGCTAAAAAGTATGAGATAAATATATAAGAAAAGTATGATAAATCTAAAAAGACTGAGTCAAGAATCTAAACTGTGTGTGTGAGTGCTTCATACCTAGTTTCAAGATAATCGCAATAAAAAAAGCATTTCTCAGTTGTCCGTGCATGGCTGGCCATTTCTACTTATCACGAGCATCGACCCAACACGAGCCTTCGAACTCCATAATTTCGAAAAGAAAACATCAGAAGAAAAACTTTCATTCCACACTTGGATTCATCTTTTCACACAGAATCATCCCCTTTTGAAATCCGACCCGTCCCAATGCCCCGCGAGTTGTAGCCGAGCGTAAAAGGGGTTCGGAGAGGTCGTGGAGTTCCGATTATTCCGATAAAAATGATTATCTCTCGCGGCAGCGCGAAACACGGCGGAAAATGGGGCTTGATACCGTGGTGAACGCCTGCCGGGCGATTTTCCCGACGCTGTTTATCAGTATCGCGATTACAAAGGATCATCGGCGAAACTCCCAGCGGCAATCGTCCGACGCACAAGCGGCCGAGGCTCGTTTGCGACACGGGATGGAAAATATAGGAAATTGCACTTGCACCGGGGACGAGGAGCGTAATTTACTGCAGCCGGCGAGCGAGGCCGCCGCTGCGCAGCCTAGGCGATTCCTATGAGCCTCGATGGCCTTGGATTCTCAACTTGAGAATCCACGCCTACAGCGACACAAGTAGCGCTCAAAAAGAAGAGAGAGAGAGTGAGAGAGGGGAAAAAAGAAGGAAGAGCGAACACGAGACGAGGAGGAAATATGTTTTCAAAGCCCTCTGGCTCGTCCGAGGAACAAAGGAAGTTTTTTCGGAGGTCGAAGAGCGAATAAGGTGAAAGATGTGTTTCACTCTGTCGCCATTATGACCGGCTAATTGCCAGCCGAGTAATTAATCCCATCCTCAACAGTTCCGAGGAATAGAATCCAGGTGAAGATTTCCTGGGGGAGAAGATGCTGATTCGAGGAAGGGAAGTATGATCTGATTACAACCGGACTTTCATCGACCGATTTGCATTCCTATTCCGTCGGGTAGTTAGATCCATTGTATAATTAAGTAACTGCGAGTAGAGGCTCTGTTGAGAAAAGGATACGAACTTGGGAATTTGATTATTTTTATGGAGCTGATCGAGAAGTTTTGCGAGAATCCTTTAATTTATTGTTGTAAGAAAGGTACATTTGATAGATTCTAGTGTTAACACTGGTACTACCGAGCGTATAATAGGATTAACATGTAATCCATATAAAAATTGTAACAATATATTATTGTCAGTTTTTTAGACATTCATTACAGTATTCAAGTGAAGCTATTTATTTTCAAGATCATTTGAATTATTGAATGCTTTTGAGATATTAATAATTGCGAAACAAAAAGATCGAAACATATTGACTGGTATGGTAGTTCTAGTGTTAATTGCGAATGTGAGAATTAAATAGAAACACAGGAGAGTTTGTATAAAATTTCACTGATTACTTATTAATAGGATGATTAATTTCCTTTATTGAGAGACGCGACTCACCTAGAGTATATCTCCAGTACTAGAAGCTCTCGTAGTCCTCGTCAATGGTCCCAATTGCCTGTTTTGATCCGGCCGAGGCGTGCAGTATATAATTTTCCGAAAAGCCTTCCGGAAACTGTCGCTGAGAAACGCGTACAAGATCGGGTTGATGCAGCTGTTCATGTAAGCCAGAATGTGGCTCGTTATTTGCACCATAATCGTCGACGTTGTCAATGGATACAAGTCCAGCGACTTAGTCACCAGGATCACCTGTTCGAAAACACAGAAAACACCGGGTTTATTCCGTCACGAACACGCCAAGTCGACGTCCAAGTAATTTAATCCAAGTAAATCAATGCAACGCAACATTAACTCAGCGAAGTCAAACTTCATTAATTATGCGAAGCAATCCGAGTAAGACTACTTCAATTACAAAGTTCAATAATGGAATATCTAAGCTAAAGGTTTCCGTCTCGATTATTTAGTTATGTGGAAAATCGTTACGCAGCTTCTCAATAATTACATCCGTTTAATATATAAATTCTTCAAATAGTCTGATAATTTCAGACAGATCGCGTTTACCTTTAATTAATGACGCAGGGTAAGTCTAAGTAAAGATCATTTGCAACGAAACATTCGTCTTCTTACACGAATCCGATAGTCAAGTGCGAGACACGACGATCGCGGGAAATTTCCACCGCACTCGATACTTCCCTTTAAAAACCTCTGCTGTCTAACCTATCCCGTATTTTTCCACTTCAACGAAGTGTTCCATCCGCCGACACACTCTCGCAAAACAAAACAAGATACGTGCTATCAGATTCGACGGCAATATCAAACTCGCTCTACGCAATTTGAATAATTTTGATTCCGTCAAAGTGTTTTCCGATACACTGATTTAAATAACTTTCTGCTGGAACGTTCGAAGCAAGTTCGCTGTCACCCTCGAAAAACTGAAATTAAACTGGACAAATCTTATCCAACACTATCGATTTCAAACTGAATCTATTACTCAATCATAACTCTCCAATTCTTATATTAACAACCGATTCTGAAACACTCTACGGAATTTTCTTCTCTAACCAGGAAAATTCGGCGAAATCGCATTGGGTTTCCATTCCTTTGTCACTTCTACGTTAATTTTTGCTTGAGAAATAACAAATTTGCATATACATATAATACCAAAGTTCAGACAAACAGACATTTTCATTGGCTTCGCAAGCTTAACCCTTTGCAGATGAATGTTGACATTTCGGTGAGATGAAACGTTCATTGGAAGACCAAGTTGCAAATGATTTAATTACTCGGACAGCAAGAGATTAGCATGTAGTTCCTGTTATCGCTATTATTTAACACTAGAACTACCGTACCAGTAAAAATGATTTTGAAAACAAATAGTTTCACTAGAGTACTATAATGAATGTCTGAAGAAACTGAAAGTAATCTATTGCTACAATTTTTATAGGAATTGCATATTAATCGTATTAAATGCTCGGTAGTTCTAGAGTTAACCAATTGATATATAATTTTGCTTCATCTGCTGAAGGTTTTGTACATTTCAAAGAATCTTCGTCCGCAAAGGGTTAAAATATAATTCCACGATCGATGCTCATCGAAATCATATTAAAGATCTATATCGAAGAAGGAAGCAGGCGACACAACGCGCGCGCGCGTGTGCATTACACGGCTTCATTCAATTAGGGGGACAATTTATTTTTCGTCTAACCAATTCCGATAAACGTCTTCCATCGGCGCAGTAACATTATTACAAGTTGCATCATTCGCCGGAAACGAGAAGGAATTCCCGCGCTCTGCAATATTCGCGGTGTCCCCCGTCCGATTCCGATTCGATCGTTTAATGACTAGGCACCCGGCGAGCTGAATCGTGATACGCGGCGTCTTACTTTCGCGCATTTCCGTCGGCGCCGGAGCCGAGCAGCTTCCTATCTCGTTCCTCGGGACAAATATTTTACCGAGGGAACTCGATAAACGTCTCTTCACTCGTGTTTGACTGCCTCGAGATCGCCGCGACGAAACTAGAGAACGAAGAAGAATTCGTCGTGCTCGTCCAGGCACGAGATACGACCGGAAACGTTGCACTAACCCGTTAAATGAGAATTTTCTTAATGATTTTATAAGTCCATTTCATCGAAACGCGATAGTTCTATTTATCTTCATGAATATATTCCATGGGATTCCGAACATTTCGCTTTCTTTCGTGGCAGTTCGAACCTATAGAAATGAAATATTTGAAATTGAATAGCGAGAGTGGCGTGTAAATTGAAATAAATTGTGAGGCAAGGGGTTAATCGAATCAATACGAGCAGCGTTTCAGGCTTCTCGAGACTCAATGCGAAATTAGAGCACTCCTTTGAAGGCGTAAGAGATTTCATTTTCGGACGAGTGTACAACAGTCTATATTACATTATTCAGATTTCTAGCGTAATACTATGAAATATTCCAATCACTTTTACGAGAGTGACTAATTTCGTATACACCTTTAGTAATCCTCGCGAGAACTGAACCGACGGACCGTGCCAATGATTGAAAACTGTGAACGTAATTCGGCCGAAAATAAAAGATCATTATCTTCGATGATCGACAGGGCGCGTCGAACGTTTGAATTTCGCTGTTCCGCGATTCGTTTTTTTTCCAGGATTTATCTTCCATCTCCATTAACACGAACAGCCGGCAATTAATTACATTGCGCTCGTGTGGCCCGTAAATTCTTTCACGAGCGTTCCGCTGCCTTTACCGAAATGTCGTTCGGAACACACGCGAAAACGCAGACGCACGGAAACGCGGCCCGGCTACGTTTCAATTCCCATGCGGCGGTTCTCAATGGCCGCCGCGGTGGTTTGCGTGACACCGAAGCCGCGATAACTCCGACAGATTATTGTGTACATCGTCGAGGACTTAATCCTATTTACGCCGCGCTGTGCGCTGAGAACGGGCCGCCGACTCTTCTTTTATTCCACGCAGAGAATCAAACGAATCAAACGAATCGACTCCATCCACCGTGGAAACGCTACAACCACGGTAAGAATAGCGAGTAGTTCGTTCTCCGGGATTAACCCTTCCGCGAGCGACTCTTCGGGAAGAGTAAAGCCGATTCGTGTTGATTACTCTATATATAGACGGTAGAAAAATAATTTGAAATATCCGGACATTCGGTTTGATGAGCCTTCTCGTCGTTGGAATGATAAATTGGTTGCTGAATAATGGATATATAGTTATGTTCATACTAGCGAACGCAGCTGTTTCTCTTCAATTCTAACCCTTTGCACTCGACAGGTGACTCTCAGTCACCATTTGATTTGATGCAGCAGAATTATAAAATTTGATATTTAATATTGAAGTATGTGTAATGCACGGTGCGTGAAATATTGGGATAGAAAGCTTTGTTTCTCAATTTACCTGTGATTTTTCTTTGAATTCATTCCAAAACATCATTTTTGTCCAGTTAGAAAGTATTAAGTATTTCTAATGAAATACTTCTGAGTGCAAAGGGCTAAATTGCGATATTATTGTACGAGTTTGAAGCAATAAAATTGACAGCGAAAATATTCTAGAGGAAACCACGTGGTAAGCACTATGCAGAGTAACTGATGAAACTCCAAAAATAATAAAACACGCAGTCGCGTTTAAAATATGGCGTCGCTATCAGCTCTGCCATTACTCATCCCCTAACAGGAATCAGCAGAATGTCTCGCAAAGAATATGAAAAATTCGCGAAAACTCGCCGCTTATCACGCGCGCGGCATGCCGGACAAGTAGGAACGTGTATGCTAACCTGAATGGGGCACCAACAAAACGCAAAAACGCCGACGACCACGAACACCAGCCTCGTGACGCGTCTTCTGCCGCGCCGGCTCTCGGCGCTGACGCGGGACCGACGCCAGAGCCTGACGAGCATGTAAATGTAAAAAAAGCATATCAGCATCAGTGGCAGCAGGTAGCTCGTCAGGAAAAACGATATTTGGAAGAACGGCCAGTCGTAGTCCGGCAGGATTCGACAGGCCGTCAGGTTCTGCGACGATGAGACGTTCATGTCCTGAAATTAAAGCGGAATCTGCATATATAAAGGGCTAGTCCTTGGGCGCGACGCATGGAAGGACGGACAGACACATAGCGCGCGCTCGTGTGTGCACTGTATGACGATGCGTGATCGAATTCGCTCGCGACGGGAAAACATTCTTCGCGAAAGGACGTGAGCGAGTTTCCAAATGCCGGACGACCTGCGCAATTATTTCGGCGCAGATTTCCTTTTTTTCTGTTTAATGGATAGACACTTGTTACATACGAGTTTAGAGGGTAGATAATTTTTATAAGAGACGATAGTTGTTATTGATAAATATGTTTCTTGATAAAAATGTTTCTTTTTTATTCGAGTGATTATGATTGGAGTTTGTGATTTATGTCACCATTCGAACAGGTTTCCAGTTTTCGAAACCTTATTGGCTGTGATATTGATGAGAAAATTATGTTTATGTCGGGGACACGTGAGTAATTGACTTCCACGTTATTGATTTGTTCAATTAAGAATATAATGGTCGTCGTGATGATATGTTATTATAGGATTGATCGAATGAAATTAAATAGAAACCCTCAATTATTCTGCACCCCACGCTAGAGACAAAAGACTAAAATCTGCGTACCGTGGCTATAGCAATGAACAATTGGGATCGAGTAGAGGCTCGTTGCGCATACTATCTCACTTAAATGAGTTTCGTGAAATCGTATAAAGCAAAATAATATGCATTGTGTTCGGGGAGAGCTCGACGATATTCGCAGAAAACGCACGAGAGCTGCGCTGTTTGAACGGTCGCATTTGTCACGTTACTGTCAACCGCACATAACCAAATGTGTCCGGATCAATTCCCGCAAAATGGACATTAATTATCAGTATGCTAATCAAAGGGTGACAATCGACGCGGGGAACGGAGAGTTGTCATCAGTGCATCAGTCATAAAGCGAAGTTGACAAACAGTCGACGATATGAAATGATAATGCACGCATATAAAATTTGAAATTTAAAATTTCACATTTCAAATTTCACTGATGAAATTTTAAAACGTAGAACACGAACAATGAAATTCAAATAATGCACAGTATGCCAAAGGAGAGATACACCGCAGAATCAATCGGGAAGCAACAGAATGCCGGGGAGCATTAAACGTCAATCATCATCAACGTTAAAAGACCGCAGCACTGTTCGGCCGTGCGCGAACCGGCGAGAACAAAAATGAGTTCCGGCGCGGGACGGGGCGAAAGAAAAACAATTTATCAAGTTGTAAAAGCGTTCCGAATCTCGACACCCCGCAACCGTGGGAAGAGCCATTAGGACGCATCAGTTTCACATTTACAGGGCTTCGCGGCACGTGTTCCAGAGACCCCGGCAACGATTTCAGTTTCTCCGCTGACTTTGTTCGTCGCGTTCGAAGGTAATTACTGCCGGGAACGCTCATTGGGTAATTACACGGATGGATGGATGGTATCCGCGAGATCTTCCGGCCATCGATTCCAATTTAAACTAGTTTTATATCAACTGGCCAACGGGCATCTGGAATGTATTAATTAGAACGAAGCGCCGAATAATTGCTCCTCGTCATCTCGATCTTTCTCTCTTTCTCTCTTCCTCTCTGTTCCTCTCTCGGCTCGCCATAGCGAACCGACGGAGAGCGAAAGGGAGACGGAGAGGAAACGAGCAGCGTCCATTTGCAATTCCCGGTTTTCATTACAGCCACCGGTTCCTTTTTCCGCGCGTTCCGTGCCGCCCTTTTTCACCTGCGCGCACAGCTCAAAGAACAAGCAGAATTTCGAATGGCGCGCGCGCTTTTCGGTCTATTGAACCATTTTACAGTATCGAAATCCGCTCGGCATCAACGCGATCCGTCATAACGAGTAACCGGATTGAAGGAGTCAATCAAAAGAGAGCCGCGCGCAACGCCGGACACCGGAATTTTCGCGTTCCGCGTGACACGCCGGGGCAAACCGAATCAGACCGCGCGTAAAACAACCCCGGGAAATGCCCGCGGCGGAAGTACTGCCTCGGAAATTCGACGATCGGATAACAGAGGGGATAGTGATAACAGAGTGATTTCATTGAACTACCGATCGATTAACGTTGGAAGATCGTTCGAGAGAGTTGCTTTTCGAGTCTTTTGTCGTGTGGAAAGGTAACCGATGCTTCGAGATGTCGGACGAGAATTATGTTTTGTTTTTGGAAAATTTGGTTGCGAATTTTTCACTAGTTTCTTTCAAGAAATTACTGTGGAAATTATGGAGGAATGACTGAGACTAATGATTTAACCCTTTGCAGACGGATGTCATTTCGATGAGATGAAATGCTCAGGTTTGGAAAACTGAGTCGTGAAAAAATGATCTAATTAGTCGAACAGCAAGAGATCAGCACGTAGTTTTCTTTTTTTCTACTAATTAAGCGATTGATATATAATTTAGCTTAATATGTTGAAGGTTTTGTATGTTTCGAAGAATCTTCGTTCGCAAAGGGTTAATAGAAGGGAAGAGAATTGTAGAATTATATAGAATTATTATTAATTTACTAGTGGGAAGTCTCTTATAAAGATGGTAATCAAAATTGAGAATAGTAATCCGAGAAATAACGAGTTGCTGGTCGAGTGTTCGATTTCCTCGGCTATTAAAGAAATTTTCTCCGCGGGAATTTCTTAATTATGCGAATTCTTTGAGCCTATCATCAGCGGCGCTCACTCGTGAATATGATGGGAGGCGATTATAAAGGGAATACTGTGCGATCGAGTACTTCTGGATGACTCACCTCGCCGTGAATAACGAGGGCAGGGGTAGAAATCGCAAAGATGATCGCCCACGCGGTGCAAATCGCGAGGATCGTGCGATTTTCGGTTCGCCATGACATCGACGTGACCGGATGAACCACTGCCAAGTACCTGTAACAATTCAAACGCATTCTTTGTTAATTAATTGTACAACAAAGCATCCAAGCAGTAAAAAACAACGTGGAACGATAAAATTGGGAAACACGAAAAATAATTTCATGGAACGCGAGATCGAACATTTCGATTGCCATGTTCTCGCGCGAAACAATAAAGCAAACTGACAACTCAAGTTTTTTGCTGCAATATTTTTTGCGCCGGGTCTTTCTAATTCAACTCTCCACGAAATTGTGTTTCATCGATCTCGTTATTTTTAGATACGACGGGGTACATTGTGCGAGTCGCCCGTAACGAATGTGTTTACTTCGGGAATGTTTTACGTGTCATATACCATGACAAAATGAATGGACAATCATTCATGGTAATCGAGTTGGATAAAAGCCAACAGATTGAATTATGCAGGTTACCGAGAACTCACGATTAACCTAGTTGTTAATTGCAAGCTCATGACACACCGCCTATATCGAGGATAACGCTGATACGTACGATTTCTCGTTCCCTGTCAAAACAAGGTTTTAAACGCGCCACGCTCCTAATACGCGCATCCGATACGCGAGGCTGCCCTTCCCGTCGTGAATTATCAACATTTTCGTTTATCTGTCGCGTAAACAAAACATTCGTGTTGTCTGGCATGAAATATATAATTTCCGTCGAAGAAAATTTCATTTATTCCAACGAATCAGCATATCAGCCATTTTGGCCAAACAAAATATAATTTATTACAATGATTCATCGCGTTACTTCGAAAGTAACGTACCGTCGCTAAATTTATTAACCCTTTGCACTCCAAAAGTTTCTCATTAGAAACAAGCGACGACATTCTTTCAAACTGACTTAACGAGAAATCGTACATAAATTAAAGAAAGGGACTGTTTTATTTTAATATTTCACATGTCGATGGGTTGTACAAAGTTTAATATTAAATGTCAAACTCAATAATTTTTCTATGTTAAGTCAGTTGGCGACTGAGAGTCACCTCTCGAGTGTAAAGTCTTAAAGAACATACTCCCGATGAACTGGCGTTAAAAAAAATATAATTCATTCAATGAGTTCATATGAAAATCACCGTTATATGCACCAGTGCAATTTGAATGACTACGATCTACATCCAAAGGAGAAATGTGAAATGCCGATCACGCGGAGGATAGAATACGAGGTTAAATAACAAACGGGAAGAAAAGAAAAAACGATGAACCGAACGGAAACTGCTGGTCCCCGAAATTTAGGTTGGCCGCAATTCGGCCGGAAACGCTGTCTCAACGATCGCCGTGGAGATGCAATAAAATCGAAAAGAGGGGAACGGGGAAGATCGCCGACATCGAGGAAATTTTGAAACGTAATAGAAAATGAGCGTATCAGATGTTTCGGGGCGGAGTCAAGATCCCTTTCGCACGTATGACATTTACAGGCGCGGCACGTGATTCCGCAGCGGGCGCCGGGGAACGCGCCATGCGGTACCTGCGGAAATGTAACCGGAAATACTGCTGATATTTACGACGTGGGAATGGGTTACACCGCCACGTGTTACGTTAGAGGATCGAGTTTTATTATACGAAGGTATTCCCGCGTGCATGCTCGATAATATTGCCGGCGATCAACCGATCTCCTCGAGCAACCACTTCGTTTGTTTATGTGCTCGCCGCGAACTTTATGCGATTCTGCTCGATATCGTTTATAGTCGATGCTGCAATAATTGTGATAAACATTCAATGATATCGTTGCGATACTCTCGATGCCTCGAGTGATTTTATAGTGTCGATTAGACGCAAGGGGTTGAAATATTCAATTGTTCCAGGGAGATGAGAGTAAGAAGCAAAACTTAACCCTTTGGACTGGAGAGGTGACTCTCAGTCACCACTTGATTTGATTTGCAAAATTACGAAGTGTCATATATCATATTAAGTTTCGTATAATTCACCAATATGTGAAATATCTATATAAAATAGCTTTGTTTCTTAATTTACGTATGTTTTCTCATTAGTTCGTTTCAAATGTCATCTACGTCTCATAGGAAAGTGTCGAATGTTTCTAGTAAAATGCTTCCGAGTGTAAAGGGTTAATATTACAATATCTTCTGTGAAAAGCTGCGAAAAATTCGATTCTCGATTTAATCGAACGTCGAACGAAGAACCAAGAATAATAAACCAAGTAACAAGGTAGAACACAATAGAATCGTAAAGAGATAATTATTGTTACTCAAAGAAACGCCGAGCATTCAAACTTCCAGCAATCGAAAGCAATCCAAAGATGAAAACGAAATGAACGATCATCGACTCACCTGTCCAGACTCATGAGGACCAAAGTATACACGCTGGCGTACGCGGTGACGATGATGAGGTACTGCACGATCTTGCACCAGACGTTGCCGAACGGCCAGAACGGCAGCACGAAATCGGTCGCGGTGAACGGTATACAGAAAATGACGAACAGCAGATCGGCCACGGCAAGATTGATGATCAGAATGTTCGTGGTCGACCTCATTCCCGGATTCGCCGCGACGACGATTACCACTAGACAGTTGCCGACGAAACCCAATATACCGATCATCCCGAAGAACAACGGGACCACGACCGCGACGATCCTCTGCACCCTTTGCCGGTCGAAGCTGTAATCGACGGTGTGGTTGCTCATCGGATACCCGGTGTCCGACGAGTTCATCAGGATACTGTCCCAGCCGATCTCCATCTCTTCCAACATCGTGGTTATCACAGCTTAATCGCGAGATCAACGGCGAACACCGGGCGAAACTGACTGGAGACCGATCCGATTTCGATCAGTTCCACGAGCACATTTCTAGGGACTTCTCCTCTTCTTTTCGTTCCCGCTGAAGGTAGGTGTTCTCGTGCCTGACACTCCAGTCGCTTCCGGAACCCCGACTACACCATGTTTCCCTTTAATTGAGTTATTTCCAGACCTCTTGCTCGTTCCAGTTATTTTAATAACTGGATTCGCGTTGCAATTTGCGATGTCTTCGTCATCACGCTTTTACGAGTATCTCGCGAGCTCGTCCAGCATGTTCTCAGCGGCTGCAACATTGTTAATAAATTTTCGCTTTGTTATTCCATTAATTTCAACCCTTCCGCGACCACCTTATTTCTTAATAGTCGTTTTAATTGGAATCCGTCGGAAAGTATGTTTCAGGGAATGGAGATTTCTGACGGTTTTTCGAAATGAATTCTGGTTCTCCCGCGCTGTTCAAGTGACTGGCGTTCTTTGTACTGGCTAATTAGAGTTTATGTTATTCGCAATTAAGTGCGCTGTGAGATATCTGATCTCGTTCGTTGGATAAATAATCATTCGCGGTGTAGTAATTCAATTTCGCCCAACAAAGGTATTTTCGCGGTGACATTTAATTAGAAATTTGGTCGACCGCCGAGACGCGGTTTCTAAGACATTTTTTAATTAACGGCGATAATTGGACGGACACAATGCGCTGACATTGTGTATACTCCACCAATTAACGGTCCAATTAATACTGTTACTTTGGGAAACAAAATTACGTCGCGTCGTTTAATTAAAAAGGAATCCCCAAATGGAACAAGAATTCGTACGGTTAATGTACAAACGAGAAGTCGACTTCTGTCTTGCTCTTTAATTAATTAAAATCAAGCTTGCGTATCTTGATTAAAGATGAGATGAAACTCATTGGAGACCAAATTTCATATGAACGAATAAATGCTGGGCAAACATTGTGTTCTTTCAGCAATTGAGAAATAGAGATAATTAAGGAACTCGGAATAAAATAATTCTACTATTATTTAGGCGTGATGTTTCATTTCGCGCCGTCAACACATCTGGGCTCTAAGTTCCTCCTAATCAAATCACTGTCTGTTACATCAGAGTCGTATTATTTAAGACTTCCTGTCCCAATCACGTGTCTTTCTAAGTACATTAATCTACAGAATCAAACGAACGTCCTTTAATAATTCGCACTGATAAATCAAATGAAGGTCGGCTCTTCCGACATTAGAATCTTCGTGACACAAAAAATATCTCATCGGGGACAATATGCGTATATATAGCTACAATAAGAATAGAAAGCCCACACAGCCGTGTAACGGAATGCATAGAACGGCGACCGCCCTTTCTTATGCTAAATGGGAACGTCGCACTCTCAAAAGTGACGTATATTATCGCATAGAAATCCGAATATTCAAACACCTCCTACCTTTAATATCACGCATATTTCGTCGAGTACAAATGTTTTCATTTTAAATAGTCCTTTGTCGTCTGAAAATTGTAAAGGCCGTGTGAAATTTCTCTGCGATTCCTCGTCCACTGAATTCCGAAGGTTTCCATAAAGCCGCAGAGACACGAAAATCCACGATGCAACAATTCCCGGGGAAAATTTTCACGCGTTTCAAGCCAACCGAGCATTTGCATAACATAACGGTCCAAAAATTCTTGGTCCCGCGTGAACGGTAACTCTATCAATTAAAATTGAAAGGGAAAAACACAGAGACTGACCCGTTTCGGGTGGTGTTTGACTGGCCGCGGCGGTTTATCGAAATTCAGGTCACGTTAAGAGCACGTGCGACTCACTTCTGTGACTCCGTTAAAAGAGCGCTCCATTTAGACCTCATTCCTGCTTAAGCAAATATAAATAATATAAACTCGATTCGAACCGCATACGATCGTTCCTTCTGGTTGTTGCGACCAAGGAAGCGAACTTCCCGGAGGATCGAAAAATCTCTGTGGTGAAGTTCGCTTCGTATGCAACACGTAACAACGGAAAAGAACTAGCTACGACGGAGTGTTAAACGAAGCGCTATTCAGAGTCGCAGGGCTCGTAATGGAAGCTCTAATAAATCGTGATGCAACCCGTAAGTCCCATGAAAAGCAATTGTCACGGCTATTAACCCTTCGCAATACTCGAAAGCTCTCCGATTGAAATGTTCAACGCTTTCCGATGAGAGACGATATTCTTTGAAACCAACGAGAATATAAATTAACACCAGAACTACTGAAACACTCAAAATGACTGGTTTCAATTTTTTTGTTTAGCTATTATTGATATCTTCGAAGTATTGAATATCCGAAATGATTTTGGAAATGAATAGTTTCACTCGAGTACTACGATGAATATTCAAAGAAACTGAAAATAATCTATTGTTATAATTTTTATAGGAATTGCATATTAATCGTATTAAATGCTTTGTAGTTCTAGTGTTAACCCTTTGAACTCTGTAGGCTCCAATATTGCACCAGTTATAATATTAAATATTTCAACGAATCTTAAAGAAACTACCCTAAAATTATTCATTTTCGCTAGGAATACTATAAAAATTAGTTGCAGTTGCTGATAGATTACAAAACAACCTGGAGTGCTAAGGGTTAATATTACATGTGTATCGGTGTTTCGAAAGTTTCCTGTGATTCAAAGGTTAATTCTTCGACTTTTAAAGAATTCTGTAATTTCTTTGAAATTTACCGATCGCTAATACCTTGAATGGTATCTTTACAAATGAAGTATTCCTAGTGTTGTCAGCGTTAACAATGTTCCATTGTGCAGAACAGGATGAAACGTTGTTCGAAGTCCGATGATATACTCGATGCATTGATCGTTTAACTAATGCGTTCCGATTACTATTTTTATTATTCTCCAATACTTGGACGATCGCTGAGGCTGATGCACGAACAAACACGCGTACACTTGTAAACGGTCAACAATGCGTCGACTAAAAAAACAGGACACTTATATCGCCGTATGAGCATACTGCGAGCGACAACAACTTTTTACAGTGAACCGTGGTGAAAAAAACTAAATGACTGGTTTCAGAGGGAAAAATAGAATTTCGATAACCGAGGCCTCGGTAAATATCGTCAAACTTTTTCCGATACGTCACACGGATCTTGCTCGGACTCGAAACGGACGCGGTGACCACGAAATTCTCTCATTCCGCTGTCACCGGGACTTTTAAATCAATTGCGTCTATTTCGCTGCGCTAGAAAATAGTTGGCAAAAAGTCCTCGACGATTTCGTCGCGCTGTGATTTTCCGTGGCACTTTTCTTACTCGTAATTAACACTTCCTGGGCGGCTGACTTTGAATGCGTGTTACCGGATTAACGTTTATGTTACTGAAAATCACGTCCTTTATACAAAATGAAGCGAGGTTTTTCCTTTGGAACAATCAAAAGATATTCTGTACAAAATAATCGAATTTGAAACATGTGATAGTCAGTAACTCAAACGTTAAATATTAACAACATTTATCTGAGAAATATTGACATAAAATAGCTAAAAATAGACATAAATTGTCCGTCAATTCACGTGAAAATGTTGAAATATTTCTAGTGAAAAATTTCGGAGTGCAAAGGGTTAATACATATTTCTGTTCAAAAATAAATGAAATCGTAACTCTACTATATAATAATCCCTACATTTATGTTAATCACCGTCAAATTATCCCCGTCATCGAGACCCCAAACGGCGCAGAAATCCCCTAGAAAATCTCGCTTATCAATCTACAAAACCGTTCCATCCCCGTCAATATTTCAGAAGCTGGTGAAAGCGTGTCCGCGCGAACACACCCTCCACGCTCCAGCGCAAAGAACATCCCCCTTTTCATACGCTCGATTATTTTCGCGTAATTAATCTCCTCGCGCCAGTTTTCCCCTGAATCATTTTCACGGCTCGTCCCTCTTATTGTCGCGTTCCTCGTGAAAGAAGAAGGGTTGCGAGGACTGGTTTCCGCTGAATTCATTAACACAGGATCCTTTCCTCGTTCCTCATTCTTTTTATTCCGCGAACGGAGAGATGCGGCGAGACGGTTCCGCGGTTCAAAAGATCGAATAGATGTAACCGGCGGACACGTGAGCAGCCGGATGTCGCCGGATAATGATTCCGGCCCGTTCGCGAACGACATTTATATTACAACGATCCTCGCTTAATTACCTTCGGGGCCCTCCTGTGCCGATATCGAGGGGCTTTAACGATCCCCGGCCCTTCCTTTTAGCGGATTAAAGCCGATAAGGCGTAACTGATGCAGATAGATCGATTCATGATTGCCGGCGCGGTCGCTGCTAATTGCTTCGAGACTCGGTGCACCTCCGACCGACAACTGCCCGACGAGTATCCCGCTCTTCCAACGGCATCACGAACTAGCGGGGACGTTCATCCAGACCATCCTCTTTTTCCTGTCTCTCACAACAAACCGATGCACCCTTTCACAGCGTCGCTCACTCCGACCCGATTTCCCATCGTCGGCCACGCTCCTCCAGGTGTACAGGCCACGGTTTCGTTAATTGGTTGGCACCCGCTGATTAATTACACGGTTTCTCGCGAGCGCGGATTAACGTGAACGCGAAAGGTCTCAATTTAAGAGCCCTTGCTTCTCGTCGCTTGATATTTATTTCAACCGTTCTTCAGAGGATTTACAACTTTCCGTTTAACGAGTGAAACGTATTCGGGCAGCTCGCGTTCCGAATGCGTTGCTCAAGTGGCAGGCTGGTTAGCGTTGGATTCGCAGGCACGAGAAATATCCTCCGCGGAACGGCGAGAAATTGTTACGATACTCTCGCACCTCGCGCACCATCGTCATCACTCTCCCGCGCCTCAACGTCATACCCTTCCGCGCGAACTTCCCGATAACTTTCCTCGCACGCTCTCGTGAAGTGGCTATTAATGATCCCCGAATGCGTGCCGTGCTACTCGGACGGGATTGCTCGGCGTTGGCGAAACGATCGCGATCGGCCGCGGGAGGATTTGTTCTTCAAGTTCGGGAGTCACTGGATAAAATTCAAACGAAAGATCACACTTTCCTCTCGTGAACTCAAGGAAGGGATTCTAAGCGAACGTTAGAATGCGAGAGCATCATGCTGCGAACGAATTTTCATTTAGAAAATTAGAAACCTCGTCGCGCCAGGATACACGTGCTCGATCGGGAACGGATTAATTGCGGTTCATTCGTCGACTGCGCCGCTCTCGAGCGTGCGTTGTTCGTTGGAAAGGGGCCACATGTCACCGGAACCGATCTAGAATCTCATTGGTAATCGTTGCGGAGGATCTCTTCGAGGAATCAATGTTTCTGTCGATTGGTTATTTGGATTTTGACTCTAATTCGATCACGTCGCCGTCGCGTTCGCGCGAGATATCTTTCCACGTGTTTCCATCGTGTCTCGACCACCGGTCCGAGGAACTTTCTACTCGTAACAGGTATGGCGTGGACGAAGCGTAGCCGGAGACCGCGAGAGCAAGGTACGCGACCGGCGGTGGATGCGGCGCGACTGTGCGGACCGCAGAAACAGAGACGAAGAAATCTCGCCCGCGAGTTTCCCCGAAATAGGGTTGCCGGATTCGTCGTGGCGAGAGGGTGCGGCTGGCATCTATCACCCTTCACGTGCGCTCATCAAGTTTATCGATCTGGCTCGCTCGATCGGTGGAGTAGGAACCGTTTATACCATCGCACAGTCGAACAGTTCCCTGTAACACATTGTTGAACATGGGATAGTGTGCTAGGGAATTTTTTCCTTCGTACTCGGTGGGTTTATCAGATGTTCCACGTCGGTACCATTTTGCGCATAATGTTACCGATGGTTCGAGGAGATTTGTTAGCGGAAATGTAGTATTTTCTATGATTAGTTTGTAGATAAGATTGAATGCTTACCTTAATTATTCCTTTCGAAACTGCAATCGTTAGGATTGTTTTATTGTTGGATTGTTTTTTATATAAGTGGTTCCTATAAAATAGTATAAAAATACCTAGAAACATTCATTCTCATCCACGATATCCACATACATTTGCTGATGCTCATTTTTATTCGCTCATACTCGGTAACTTCGTTTAAAACGAAAGACGTTTAGACTAGTATACTTTAAACATAAATATCGGAAAGTAACACGTGATTTTCAAGTTGAAGTTTATTTCATCCTCTTTCTGCTTGAAGCGTGATAAACAAGTTACATTAATATACATAAGTATGCGTGTACAAGCTGTTCCTTCTTTGACAAAGAAGAATCGGGGATTATCCCACGTATACAAAGCGCTTACAGTTTCGTAGCAACGATCGATCAGCTGTTAACCCAGAATAATTTGGTTAATTACACACGGGCCCGTGGACAAAGGGCGTGTCACCGACACTCATTGCATGATAATTAACCGTGGACCGCAGGGCCACGATATTAACGAATATCCACGACAGACACGTGCGCGGAGACAGGATGTATCGGTGCGTTCAATTGTATTTCTGGACGATTGCTTCGTGGCACGGCATACAGGAGCCGTGTTCGCCAGGCCGCATGTAAATCAAAGGGTTTGTTAAGGATTAACAACATGTTAACCTGGTTCGGAAACGCCCAGCTGCCGAGCTTTGAGGCTTAGCTTCGATTCATTGGATTCTTGAGACCCACAGACGAGTCATTAATCCTAGAACATGTCTTACCGTATCAAACGAAACTCTTATTTCTCTCTCACTAATTGTTACGTAACTGCTTCTCAATTTCCACGTGTCTAGACTAATTATCATTAAACTGTGGATATTTCGACAAACTCTCGACAAACCATGTGGATTCGATGAAAATAACTAAACTAACATTGTTACTAAATGTATCATCGTCCCCTAATAATAAATTGCATCCTAGTGAATTAAATAAGATCGTTCATCAACGGTGAAGCATTCTATCATCAAAGATACATTGCCCAAACTATAAATTAATTCTATAGAATTACAAGCAACGCAGAGAAGCATACAAAATAATTGAAATAAGTCACGTGAATTAATCCTACAATACACTAACGTCTCTCGTTCAAATAAGATCAATGTTTCCCAGTGACTTTATCCAAAATAGCTTGAGTCAGAACTTTCGTGGTGAAATCTTTAGCAAGACTGGTCAGCTGATCGCTGAAATTCGGTTTTCTAGTAGTGGGAGGGGGATAATAACCTCCTGGATATCCTTGGGGATATCCTCCTTGAGGATACCCTCCTTGAGGATACCCTCCTTGAGGATACCCTTGAGGATACCCTCCTTGAGGATACCCTTGAGGATAGCCTTGAGGATAGCCTTGAGGATATCCTTGGGGAGGATATCCTTGGGGATACCCCTGAGGGTATCGTCCTTGGTTATATCCAGTGTTTTGTTGAGGATATCCGGATTGCGACGGGTATCCACTCTGCGAAGACTGACTAGGATACGCAGCGTTCACTGAATTAGCGTCCACTCGTTTAACGCTCTCCTCGTTTGCTGACGGATAACCAGAGCTCGATGGATATCCACGAGATCTCGACGAAGGATAAGAGCTGTCCGGATAACCGGAACTGCTACGGGGATATCCGGAATTTGTCGGGTAGCCGGAATTTGTCGGATAGCCGGAAGAGCTGCTCGATGGATATCCCGAATTCGATGGATATCCGGACGAACTGCTTGATGGGTATCCCGAATTCGATGGATATCCGGAACTGCTTGATGGATATCCAGATGATCTGCTCGACGGATACCCGCTGCTCGATGGATATCCGGAGGTTCTCGACGCCTGATCAGAAGTATCTCCTGATGGATAACCAGAAGAACTAGGATAACCGGAGCTTCTCGACGGATAACCAGAACTCGACGGATAACCGCTTCCAGCTGGATAACCGGAGGAGCTGCCGCCGGTTTCCGATGGATATCCAGACTTCGTGGCCGACTGACCGGATGTCTCTGGCACCGTAGACTGAACGTCGCTGCCGCTTTGACGTCTCGCGACGATTTTGTTCTCACCGTCCTCGAATTCTGCGAACAATTCGTTATCTACCTCCTAATTGTCTAGTTAAGCTCTCTGATTTTCGACTCAGCCCCATGCCATGCCGAGTCCAACTTTAATCGGCTCCCGTTTTGCAGCCCGTTCGTGTTAGCGCTATCGAAAGTCATACATTTCGATATGTTTTCTATTATTATTTGCGATTTCAGTATTGTATTTCGTTTCTCGTCCGCAGCCGATGAACGTTTCCATTGACAAGCCGCGATGAATTATTACCGGCGCCCAATGTTCATTTTATTTCATGGATTAGCGTGTTATTAAGCCGATTTACGCGTTACAGTTTGCCCCCGCGTATTAATGGTAATCCGTGTGTTTGTTATCGCGGTAAAATTCCGATCGAATTCCGAGTGTTAATGCGCCTGTGCTTTGGCCAAGCGAACTGTATTGCGTACCGCAGTCATGCAATTTCGGTGCCTCGATGTCTGTTAAAAGTTAATTTTCCAAGTATCCGCAGTGCGCCGGCTTGTTCCGGTATTAATGGCTTGCATCCGAATTGTGCGAACCGTGTGTATTATTATCTTAGAAACTAAATGAAATCTTCGGGGATCTTGAAGGATTTGTAAAGAACGCAGTCTGAATGCTCAGGATCTCGTGTATTTAGTATTCTTGATGGATACATACGATGTCCGTTTTAAGTACACGTTAAGTACTAAAGGTCTGACACGTCTCTGTGTAATAATAAAGGTACAGGATAACGCAACATAATTGTAAAATGGCACGTTTAGGAAGAACCCACAGTTCGGAGACTTGAAAACGCACCAATATTGTCCATGATTCCTGAAAGAACTTCGTTTCACGAATACGAAAGCCTTTCTCTTCTATTTTTATACTGTAAAACTAATGAAATACGACTTTTGCCTGTACACTAACCTTCCAAATTTCGCGACAACTGTAGTTTCAAAAAAGGATTAACCCCAAGCCGTAATTAACCCCCAAACACATACAACTCCATTACCAACACACTCAAACCTTCCGTTACTTAACCCTTTGCACTGCAGAGGCGCCTCTAAGTCACCAAATGATTTGACACAGCAAAACTGTAAACTTTGATATTTAATATTAAACTTTGTATAATGCATCAATGTACGAAATAGTGAAAGAAAATAGTTCTCTTCCTCGATGCATGTGGGATTTCTTAATTCAATCTAAGAAAATGTCGTCTGTACCTCTTTGGAAAATATTGAATATTTCCGGTGAAAAACTTCTGGGGTGCAAAGGGTTAAAAGCTGTCCACAACATTTAATCTCGAATTTATTGAAAACTATCTTTCTCGCGAAACAACAGAAATGATTTCGAAAAGTGACGCGAACTTGTTGCATTCTGTCCCGATTATTCCTACACCATGTATATTAGTCGTTTTAATATTCTTAGAAGAAGTCATGGATTTAAGAGTTAAATATACGATAATTGACGCGTTAAAATTGCAAAGGGTCCAGCGATTAGCCCGAAAATCTCCAGACTCGGTTTCCCTGACTGTCGACGGAGGTGTGGCTGGTGTAATAGCCGCTGCCACCTGGCTGCGCTCGAGCTCTAGGAGTGGTTGCGCCACGCGATCCGTAAATACGATCATTCCCGAACAACCGATTAAAAATAGAACCGTCCCCAATCGTGTTCCTTGATCCCGCGTTACCGGTGATTCTCCCGCCGATTCCGTTGGACGATGACCTCGGGGGCGGCGGGGGTGGCGGTGCTCTGTTCCTTCCCGGACTTTGTGTCGGGTATACTGTTAAATTGGAGAGTGGTAGTGAAAAACTAATTATTACGCATTACGACGCGAGCTGGACTTCATACGCTAATTAGATAATTACGCTGCGAGAAAATAATTATTAATCACGTAAGAATATTTCAGAGAACTGAAGTTAATCTTAGACTAAAATGTTTTAATTCCGACCGAAATCTTCATCGTAATATTACTTAGAATGAAAGATTAATTAGATTGTTAGTCGATATTTCATGCCAATATTATAATAAATATATTTCGTTTATGATCTTATAAGCATGCACGATGATTACTGTTAATTCTGCTTGTATATAAGAAGCTTTTTATGAATCATGTTCTTTTTGGTTTCGTAAACGAACCACTCTTCAATTTGAACGTATAGTTTCACGTGATTGTTGACTCGCGAATATGTGAAGTTTATAATTATGTATTTACAAAGAATATAAATATAACTTATTTAATAATTGTATTTACATATAAAGTTGTATTACTGTCAGTGCGCAAGCTAGTGTATAAGATAGGTGAAAATTATATTAACACGGGACGAGGAAGACTGAAAGCAAATAGTTTTGTCTAGTTCAAGATAAGAAGCGTTAATATAATTTTTACAGTCCTGTAATTATAGTGAAATTAATGTATATATAAAATGTTAAAATATATTCTGCTTATCGATGTTAACACTAGAAGTACCGTGCCAGTCAAAATGACTGGTTTTGATTTTTTTGTTCCGCAATTGTTGATATCTTGAAGGCATTGAATATTCAAAATTATCTTGAAAATCAATAGTTTTACTTAACTACTGTAATGAATGTCTGAAGAAACTGAAAATAATCTGTTGTTACAATATTTATGGGGATTATACATTAACCGTATTAAATAGTCGCGGTAGTTCTAGTGTTAAACTAGGAGGTTAGGTAAACGAAGGTTAAAATAATAGAGGAAAATGAGAAAAGCAGTTTCAGCGAAGTTTAGACAGCCTATGGTAACACGAGAATGTCTTTATTCCGAGCTTAAGCAATCTGACCTACAAAATACATCTACGCCGGTCATCGAAGATGATAACAAGTGTCAGGGTTCGACGTGATAAATAAACACATTCTTTGTCAGAGATGCCTCCAAGGAATGAACTGTAACTTGAGATTTTCAATGCAACTCACGGGAGTCTTGTGTTTTGAAAAATTATCTTAACATCTCAACCTCTTCTAAGTAATAACTTTCATCGCTATTCGCAGTTTTATACGCCCCTATATTAATTATAAAATTAGACATTTTCTGCATTTACAGGTTACACAAATATCGAATAAACGAAACTTCTCATCGAATCTCATTCCTCTTTACATTGTCTTAACAATAACAAACCCACAAAACAAAACACTTCCATTAAAATTTTCAAACGCAGTCACATAAACAGTCTACCAATTATCAATTACGAACTAGATCGATTCGAACTGATCGCATCCTGGATGATCAAGCGCCTAGACGATGAGGATTAATTGCGCCTAAAATAGCCTAAGACACAATAGACCGCCGCTAACACGATCTTTAGCAAGACTGATTAAGCGACCATCAATATTTGATTCCTTAGTGGCAAGGGAAGGAGAGGCAGGATAATAACGTCCTTGTGGATGTGGGAGTACCCATGAGGATAGCTTGCCTCGGACAGATATCCTTAAGGATAACCAGAGGGCATCCTCATTGGAATATCCTGTGGACTGCGATACCAATTAAATTATCCAGAAAAATGGCTTTCGGAAAACAAGTTTCGATGGATATTTCAGAGTTCGTAAAAGGATCAAATCTTCCAGCACTGCCAATCGAACGTGGAGGGTAAGGTAGACAGATCCTGTAGGATATCTTTAGGATCTCAAAAAATTGAATGATTTTCGAGAGTTTCTTTAGACTTTATTTAATCTTCCGAGAACGAAGTCTCGCACGATTCACTGGGATATCCATTTCCGAACTGGCCCTGATGACACTGATGATGATTATGACTGATTAAACTTTACTGTCACAATATCTTTGTGTTTCCGTCATTGAATTCCGGGAAGAATTCATTATCTACTTCCTAATCATCCGTAAGGTCACTTGTTTGGTTTTTCTCATGACGCGTTAATTCTAGATTAATTATTCAGAACTTCCGTCTCATATTTTCCTTTGTAGATAAGACTAATCGAAGCAATACACATATAATTCTCAGTGAATCGTACATGTATCATCGATGATGAAATTTTTCGAAATTTCCGAGATTACTGTTGATTCCTCGAAGATATATTTAGGGAGATGTAACGAGTACACAAGTAACGAGTCTATGAATCGGTAGAAACATTATTTTTATTCTCTCCCAACAATCTATAATTTGTCAACTGTATATTCCGTCGCGCGTGTACGTCAGTGCAGAAACAATATTTGCATTGTTACATAAATATGGGTATACATATACGCGTGCGTGTAGATATTTGGATAAAGTTCCATAGATGCTGGGTACATCGGTTAAAATCGGACGGCAGAGAGCGTTTCGTTCGGGACGAGAACACGTTATCGAGGTAAGTAATAGTGCACCAGCTAAAAATAGAGAATAACTCGATCTTTTGTACCGTGAACTTTATCCGCGATATCAGGTACCGAAACAGACGGTTCGTGGAAGTTGTTCTGCTCGAGGAACTGATCCTCTTAGGTAACTGGTCACTTAACTAAGACATTCGAAGTTCTACTTCGACTGGACAGTTTAAAAAAGAGCCCGCGGTAGCTTTCGTGTGAAGTTACCTTCAATGGTTTCCTCTGTACGAGAAAGATCTGTTGAAGCTTGATCAAATATCGTCGAAAATTAAGTGGAAGACTGCGGCAATCTGATTTTAACCCTTTGGCACTCCAAAGGTGCCTCTCAGTCACCATTGGTGCATCAAAATTGTAAAATTTCGTATCTATCCCTTTGCACTCCGAAGTTTTTCACTAGAAATATTTCAACATTTTCTGAGGAGATGAAGACGATATTTTGTAAAACCAACTCGACGAGAAATTCACGCGAATTGACGAACAAAGCTATTTGACGTCAATATTTCTCAGATTGATGCATTATATGAAGTATAATATTAAATATCAAACTTTACAGCTTCACTGTTGGAAGTCAAGTGGTGACTGAGAGTCACCTCCCAAGTTCAAAGGGTTAACATTAAGTCTTGAGTAATTTGTCGATACGTGAAACGTGGAAATGAAATACCATTGTTCCCCTTATTTTGGGAATAGATTCCTCGTTAAGTTAATTGAAAAAAATGTCATCTATATCTCACAGAAATAAATTGAATATTTCTAGTGACAAATTTTCGGAGTGCAAAGGGTTAATATTTCTTTTGTAGAATGTTCCGAAAGCCTCGCTTCGCGTGCATGTTGTTAATATAAATAACATTTCCAAAGCATTCTTACGAAAATACATGGCAATTTTCACACCAAGCTCTGTTCCACTTGAACCTTGAGAGAAACTGTACAGACACATTTGACAGTATAACGCTGTTACATTAATGTTATAGTTTCGTGTAAGAGAGCATAGTATCCTGAACAACACTATCGTTTTAAACTGGACGTATCAATCGAGTCCGTGTAAAATTTGTTATAGTTAGATCTTAATATTAATGAGTATATCGAAACCAACAGAATCTTCAAATTAGAAAATTCATTAATACGAAT